AAAAAAAAAACATAAAAGGCATTTAAATAAAATACAATAAATAGCAGAAATAGGCCTATCAAAAAAAAAAAAAAAAAAAAAAAAAATTCAAAATTGCTCTTAGTTAGTATGTAATAACTGATAAATAATTTATATAAGGAGAAAATTACCGAAATTATCTTATTACAGATTAGTTTAGTATTAATGGTAGGTTCATATAAACTTAATGGTATACTAATTAAATAAATTTCAACAGTGTAGATACAATAATTAATAAATATATAAAGTCAGTAAAAAGAAGAATTTAGAAATCTTTGTCAGAAAAATAGTTTTGAATGTCCATGAGAGAGTTGGTAAGATCTATTTTCTCTATGGTAAGATATTTTAGTACTATTGAGTTCCTCACATCAGCAGGGAGTTTGGTCCACACACGAGGAAATAGACTTACAGGTGAATTTCTATAAGCAATGGTCCTAGAAAATTGATGTACAAAGGTTACATTGTCTACCTACTACATGTATACAATTCTGTCGGTTAACTTTCATAATTAGGTCCATGCTTTCCTGTTTTGTGTATGCCTTCTAATTGTGCTTGCATATTAAATACCCGCCACAATATGAATGTGGTACAATCATGGTACAATACAGTATTAATACAATAATAGTACTTCCGTTGTTTTGTGTCTACTGCCCCTTGTGGATGATCTTGCACTTTACTTTGTAAGAGTAAATCCGGTATGGAGGAATGATGGGATGAATCATGAGCTACAATGACCTACCTGTCTTAGTTTTAGTACCGTAAGTCAGTGGCGGATTTAGAGGGAGGAGTAAGGGGCGTACGCCACCCCTTTTTGTAAAAAGTACATATGGATCTTATGCTCAACCTTTTTGACCAAGCTCCTCGCACAGCGGGAGGCACGCTGTCCGCGGTCTGGTATTTTCGTGTTAAATGGCTAATTTTTGTGTTTACATCGTCCGTTCTCCACTACATTTTGTCAGATTATTCTTTGATATGTTATAGTTCAGTTATTTAGGCAACTTGTTGTTTTTATTTGAATTTCAAAAGCTTAATTTCTTAAGCAACTACAATGACCGGGGCCCGTGTAAAAGGGCCATTTTTATAGATTTTCAGAGGGTTCTGTTGTCTTCAAATCGCTTTGTTGAACATTCATCAATAGAAAAGCTTCTTGTACACTTGCTAGAAAGAAACATTATTATGCATAGATTCTTTTGATGTAAGTTTTATATTGATTGGTTGAAAAAAGGGCCTGTCATTTTACAAATTACCATTCTCCTCAATATTTCTCTTATTGGATCGTGTTTACCTAGGTGTTGTGTGTGTGTGTGTGTGTGTGTGTAGGTGTAGGTGTGCGTGTGTGTGTGTGTAAGTTTAGGCCCACAGTACTGTACAGAAAAGTAAGTCTGTATTGCTGCACTTTGTATTTATATCCTTTAAGTAGTTTAATTTAAGTTTAATTGTTAAGTTATGATAAGAAGGGGCGTTCAAATGTTGTGCTTGTGCTTTTTCTATTTTTTTTTAATGTAACTTCTTTTTTAGTAATTTTGTTGGTCTTGAACGCACCGTCAATTGACGAGTGCCACTGTAACAAAAGTGTAAGTTCAATAAATTATTATTAAAGGAGGGCGCGAATGGTCAGTTTTCTATAAGCACATTTTGCATTGAGCCTAGCCATGATAGGCGAACTCTATGGTTTAGGTGAAACCCTGTGAACGTTTTGTCAGAATAGAATGTCGAATAATTTACTCATTAAAGTATTTTATTCAATATTTATATCTAGGTGTTTAATAATGATCATAGAAGAATTCTAGAGAAATATTTTTTCAAAACGTTGCTATTATTACGCCCAAATGATTTCATGTTTAAAATGTGTTGCTGTCACAGCTTTCTACACCGTTGGCGTGGATTGAGATGGATGCACCTATTTCTAGGGTAACAGTTTATTGATAACATTCTATAGCAGTGTTGATGTGCAGTAGGAAGATTTGTTACTGGTTAGGCGTGTTTTTATGATTTGCTTATGTTTATTATTTGTTTGTTTGTGTCTGCTGCTGGTAAGATATTATTGCTGGGTCTGTACCTCGTAGTATAATGCAATATTCCAAGGATGACTAATATCTGAGAAAACTATACAAGTTGCGGTTCTAATAGTTGTCTCAGCTAATGTGTAGCTGATAAGGGAATAAGGCCTCAGCGCGAAGCCCTTAACCCCTACCAAAGCTCTTTCCTGAGACTTTTACTTAGCTTGCACATTCACTCCTCCCCTTTTTTCTTACCGGACTGTATCCGTCCCTGCCGTAAGTTATCAATTGGATTGCCCAACACAGAAAGCTGCTAGAAAAGACCTCTTCAAAAATCCAGTATACTAGCCTACTTGTACATTTATTTAACGTTCAAGTGAAAACAACAAAGGCAGCATGGATGAGTTAAAAGTAGTCAATAAAAAATAATACATTAATGTATTAATTTCTATTTTTCATTCCATATGGAATGTTCCATATGGAATGAAAAATAGGCTCCCAGCGGGAGCGTGTGTCCCAGCGGGAGCGTGTGTCTAATTAGACACGCTCCCACTGGGAGCCCATTTTTAAATAGCGCCGCGAATGCGCGATGAACAGTGGCCGGTGTCACGAAAATTCGGGTACCATCGAGAAATTAGGTTCCACACCTAAATTCTCGTTTAAGCGAAAATTTTGGGTTCGTCGATAAATTAAGTTCCACTCTAATTTTATGACCCTTATAATACAGTGCATAAATATTTCCTTTGTTTGAAACTAACGACCGATCGTTATTAATGGGGTGAACTTGTATTTGGAACAACTTGAAACCGTGAAAACAAGCAGAAAAATACGATTTTTAATGTTTTTAGTCTTTTTAAGGCTTCAAATCGCAACGTAGACTTGCCACAAGTCTCTTATTTGTTATTATTTTTCTCATTCTGGACAGCGCCACCAACGAGATAGACGGAAATTCGAAAAAAAAAGAAATTGAGTATGGGACGCCAATTAAATTAGGTATGGCGCGCACTAAGTGCAATAAAGAGTGAGTAACCTAAAATTAGGGCCTAGAACCCAGACTAATCGCAACGCTGAATTAATTATTATCACTGCTGCAACAGCAGCGCGAAGATTATCCATGTTACCGCCTGTTCGCAGCCAGGTGTTGCATCGTGACGTATGAGTGACTCTTTCATTTTCAGCCAATCAGAGTAGAAATATGCCGTGAGTGGGAAAACAAAAAATTAATAAGAAGGGTAGTGGTATTATACTGTATTATAGTATAATAATGTTTGTTTTTGATAATGAATAACGCCAGTAAACGTTAAGGCCAACTCAGACAGCGTCGGCCGACGCAGCCCGACCCGATTTATCGTCGGGGACAGTCTTAAGCCGTCGTGAGAAATATTAAACATGTTTAATATTCTACTACGCGACTGCCCCCGACGCACACCATCGCATCTGCGTTCAACTCACACAGACCCGACGCGACAACAAATCGCGTTGGACTGCGTCGGCCGACGCTGTCTGAGTTGGCCTTTAGGCATCAAACTTGTTGGTAGGACGCTATACACCTCTCTGCATATCAATTTTTTAAAACACTACCGTATGTTTAGGCCAACTTCTTACTGAATATTTCATTGCATTTTTTTTTTTTTTTAGACGTTGTCTGTGTTTTGTTTTGCTTTTTGCTGTGTTTTGTTCTTTACTCCCTTGTTTATTCAATTTGAAATCGTTTTTATGGGAACCACGTGGAAATACGTAGTTGTTACTTTTTATGGCTTATCCTATTAAGGGTTGTTTGTTGCACTTTTGCCTTTCTTATGTCCTGATGTTTTAATGTTTTAATTACATGATTAATGAATAAATTTAATGCAAACTATTAAAAATTGATTGGAAATTGAACTTGATAATATTGCCAAAATTGTTTGCCAATGTTCAAAAAGATAATGGTCCTAATGTTGAGATTTTTCTAAAAATGTAGGCCTGGTTCATCATAACCTGTTTTGTTATGTCCTATTAACTTTAAATGTTAAGTGTTTAATATACGGCTCTGCTTATGCCTCTAAATTAGCTTTGGACAGAATTCACTCAAAATTGTGGTATGTTCTATTTTTATTTATTTTATTCAATTTTAATACAACAAAACAATTACAATGAGAATACAATACTTTGAGGGTGTATAAAATATATAAAAATGAAATGCTAAAATTTTCTCATAAAATGCAGTTAGAAACAAATAGGCTTACAATAAAACATAATGAAATCGTCAACGAAATAACATTCATGCATTACAAGTGCTGAATACAGTATATACAACAAAGAGCCAAGT